AATGTGTATTTTCAGTTGCCCTCCTTCCTTTTACGTGGAATAGGATTTGGCCACCTGTATGATGAGAGACGACGGCGGGGCCCTGGTCCCACTAGCAAGGAGAATAGGATTTAATACCGGACAGTGGACGTGACACTGTTTGTGGAGAGATGCAGAAAGTTGCAATTGAAGTACGTTGCAGTCACGATCGAGTTTCTTATGCGCAATATTTTTTTTTTTTTTTTTTTTTTAAATTGGACCATTTCTCGATTTATGCGTGTCATCCTTGCGCAGGGGCCATGCTCATCTTCTCTCTTTGGGGCTCGTTCGACACTCCTCGGGGCTTCCTCGGGCCCCAAGGACGATTCCTCGGAGTGGTTGGGGGATTTTGACGCCTTCGTTCCACTCATCCTCGGAGTCGTCCCCCGAGGACGATTCCTCGGGGCTCCCGCGGCCAGATTTATATGCGTATTAACGGCCGCGGGGTGTGGGTACGACGGGTGGTCTTCATTTGTGTCCGTCTGAATTGCCGTGGTCCAGCTTTTCGGGCCGCCGTCCAAGAAATGACGTCGTTCGAAAAGAAAAAAAGGGCCTTCAAGATGGCGCGCAAGGGACGAATTCAAAATTTGAAAATTCGAAATGTGCGCGTGCGAGTGGGGGGGCCCGGGGGCCGGCCGTTGGCGTGTACATACGAGACGTCAGTTTGATCGCCTTCGACTGTACAGTGTGCGCATGCCTTCCGTTGGACGACCATACGTTGTCGGCGTTCAAGGTCGCCATCGCCGTAGCTTGTCGCCGTTCGCAGTGGTGGCGTCCACGTTTCTTCACGGAGGCGGGATATCGTCSTTCCGCGTGGCRGTGTTTGCGGAGTTTTGGYGGTTGACGTGGGTTCCGSTGTCGTCGATGGAAGAGGCGTCCGGGATGGTTATTGACGGCGTTGTCAGGGGTCGTGCTTTAACGACAGATGAGAGGACGGCTATCGCTGCGGCGGTGAATGTCGTCCTCTATCGTTGTCAAGTGGAAAGAACCGCGGGGAAGATCAAAGCAGCTGCTCGCGCGCGACGGAAGGTGACGGCACTGGCGAGCAACGGTGAAGGCTTGGACCTGGGAGCACTTTCGGACGCCGTCCTCCAGGTGTGCTACGTGTTGGGGTGCGGCGCCTTTCTGAGGGCGACTCCAAGATGGTGGATGAAGCGGCGGAAGGGAGGAACATGGGAGGACCTGCGCCAAAGCGACGACGCCACCGACGACTACTTCAGAGACAAGCTCCGAATGTCGCCGCGTGTCTTTCGCGAAATTGCGGAAACGCTTTCTCCATAACTGCAACGGCGTGTGACGTTTTACAGAGTGCCTTTGCAGCCGGATCACATCGTGGCGTACGCTCTCTATAGGTGGGCGTCAGGTGAGACCTACGACAGCGGAACGTGCAGCTTCGGCATCGGGAGGGCTTCTGGCATCACGGCGGTCCGAGACCGTCGCGAGACGTTACCGCTGCCTTGCTTGCAGCGTACCTGGACAAGATTTCGTGGCCCACTGGCTTGCAGAAGGCGGTCGTGTTGCGCGCGTTTGCAGACAAGGGATTTCCAAATTGCCACGGGTGCATCGACTGCACCCACATCTACGTGGACAAACCCGCCAACGCGAACGAGGAGGACTACTGTGATCAGAAGAGGCGATTCTCTGTGCAGGCGCAGGTTGTCGTCGACATGAATTTGCGTGCTGGACGTCTTCGTCGGTTACCCTGGCAGCGTGCATGACATGAGGATGTTACATCTGTCCAGTTTGTGGGAGCGCACGGAGTCTGGACAACTTTTCACTGGCCCGCATGTCATGCTGCCGTTCAGTGTCCGAACAAATGGATACTTGCTCGGTGACAACGGCTATCCCCAGTCGGAATGGATTGTCGTCCCGTATGGAGGTCTCGTGCAGCATCCCACGGAGGCACGGTTCGACAACAAGCAAAAGACGGCGAGGGGAGCGGTAGAGAGGGCGTTTGGAAGATTGAAGGGCATGTGGAGGTTATTMCTGCGCACGCACAAGTGCAACATGGACACGTTGCCGCAACMGTTCATCGCGGTGTGCATCCTCCACAACATACTGATCGACGCAGGCATTCCCTTCGACGACAACCTGTTGTGGGAGGTCGGTCCGGATGGCGTCCGACGCAGGGTGGATCCGGGCATGCATGCGCCGCTGCGTCCTGTTTGCATGGAGTCGTCGACCGGGGACGCGCTCATTTTGCGGGATGCGTTGGCGGAGAGGATGGGTGCGCAGTGAGGATGGGTGGTTGTGGGAGTGGAGAGTCGAAGACGGTCGTGATGCGGCGAGATATCGGAGCATACTGAAGTGGGGAGGCACCAAAGAGATGATGCGCCAGGAACGATAGGGAGGTACGCCCTCCCGTATCCACTGAAGGTGCTCAGAGAACACGACACTGAAGCCCTCCCAGTGTGCTGCCGTCCGGAAATTTGTTTGGTCGTCGCCAAGCACAATGTGTTTTCTTCCCCGGGGTTGTTCGGAGCACTCATCCGGCAGGTTGTCGTCGTTCCGTTAGCGTGTAGCAGTTGTGCCGTAGATGGTCGATCCTCACTGCCATTTTTTGCACGGTATTTCCATTCTGTCGTCATATATGTAGCAGTGCTATTTCAGCGGCACAAGTGGTTAACTGAACCTTAGTCGAAGTGAGTGTCTTTGGTTTTCGTGGTGATCTGCGGCGTGCGGAACTCATAGTTGTTTTTCCGCACAGTACTAGTGAAGACTGAGTTTGGTGGTAGGTTTAATTACGGGAAGTCGTTGGTTGGGCAGTTGAGAGTTTAGCGGGGGGTGAGGGGGTCTACGAAGAACGGCGATTGAGCTGCCATCTACTTTTATTACGAACTGAACTCGTTGCAAACCTTGGAAGGCTTCCTCTTATTCTTGATGATCTTCTTTCGTTGAATGTTGTTGCGATGTGGAATGCAGTCTTCATTTTGCAATGTGTTTTCGTTCGGGATGTTTTTATAAGCTTGTGTCACGTATTTCCGCTCACGCCAGAGCGTGTGTCCGTGTGTGTGTGTGTGTGTGTGTGTGTGTGTGTGTGTGTGTGTGTGTGCGTGTGTGTGTGTGTGTGTGTATGTGTGTGTGATCAGAATGCGTGAATGCACGAAATATCGTTCTATTTGTTCCTTTCAAGGTATAGTTCATCCTTCGAATGCACGGTGTCGCCGTCAGCAATGAACACATCATTCCATGGACATTATAAAACCCTTGTCCCATTAACATAACACATCCCCGTAAACACAACATATGCCCAGAACAAAGACGGTTGTCCCATCGCCCACAAAATACACGAATTCATTGTTTGAATGAAAAAGAAGAACAACGTTGTTTTCCCTTGTCAATTGGAACATGACTTCGAAGCGCGTTAAAACCAATCAGCGTGTACAGAACCGAAGCCTCCGCTTCTTCATAATCCACAACGAATGCAGGAAGAGGACGCAGAGAAAGTAAACGGAAAGTGAAGCACGATTACGAAATGATATACACGGCGCTGAAAGCGAAACACACAAAGGCGTCTGTCCTCCTACGAAGAAGATAAAACATGTGTCGTCCTCTTCACAACCTAAATAGTAGACACCGAACGACGCAAACTAGGTGCACTACCAACCGATCGATCGTCGGTGGTGTGGGTGTGCAAGACGTAAAATCGATAGAAAACGAACCACGGAAAATAGGGACAGGAACTCCCAGCGTGAAAGCCCCGACAAAGGATGCAACAGCGATGGTGGCATCACGACGGCAATCGATACAGTCTCCCCGCGGAAGATACCCGCCCTCGCCGCCATCATCATCTTCGTCGTCGTCGTCATCATCCAAAAAAGGGGGTCTCGTTCTGACGATCCAGTCCATGTAGCACTGCCACCATCTTCACCTTTGTCTTCGTCTTTCCCCCACCGTCATGATCTTTGTGCGCACGGATGACGCACCCTTGCCCCCGGCGTTTACTAAACCCTTCCACGAACGATCGCCCGCCCTCGTCGGCAGTCCATCCACTTCCACTCCCACTATCACCCGCCCTCGGCGCCATCAAAATCGTCGTCGTTCGAGTCTTCCTCCTCAGGGGGGCCTGTGCCGAGCCAATCCGTCTTCGTTGTTCCATCGGGGAGGACAAAGTCGCGTCGTGATTGAATGTGACGCCGCACTTCGATGCCCAGTTGGGGATGTACAGTGGGGGGGGAGCGAAGGTCGGAGGCGGTCTTCCCAGTTTCTCCGTCATCACAGTTGCGGCTAGCAAGACATGACGACGGGAGTCAAAATGGCGATCCATGGCAGCAAGAAGTGTGGTCTTCGACGTCAACTGCACGAAAACCCAGGCGTCGAAGTGTGATCTTGCGTCGTCCCCAACCATCCTCATTATCCACGCCGCCGCCGCCAGCAAGTACCTCATCGCCTCCGCCAGGGACTTCAGGCGCTCGTAAGACACACGCCTTGAGTCCATCGCCTGCGCCGCCTCCACCACATTCGTGAAATCGCGCACCAAACGTTGAGCGATGGCCTCCTGGTAAGCCGCGCACTCGTCGTCCTGGTGCCTGTCCACCACGGTCGCTCCGACGAACCACAAAGGGAGCTTCATACCCAACTCCAGCGTGTTTTGAATTGCCATCGGGCTGACTAACGAACACCAGTCCTCCAATGCCCACATCGCTCTCGCCATGTCAGTCGCCGCGTGGTTCAAGGCGTACTGGTACGCCAAGTGATACCCCTTGTGTCTGCTGTCGGACTTGAAAATCCAGCCGTGGATGGCCCTCTTCGCAATGCTCTCCACCTTTAACGCCCTTTCCTTTACCGCCCTCAACTCCGAGGCATCTTCGATCTTCTTCTGCGGAATGGAACTATGGGGGAGGYTGATGCTCCTTCGGATCGCCGATGGCTGCACCCCCGTCGCCACATCAAAGAGGTGAACTYRGGCTTCGTGCATGATGTCGATGATTTCTTTTCCCCGCGTTTGATTCCAGAACCGAATGTCGTCGGTCCATAGCCTCGCGGCCACCTCCATCGCTTTCGCCTCCGGACGTTGCCCGCGAAGCTTCATCACTAGCGGTTCGTCGTYTTCGCCCGCCRCCYCGYCATCGCCCGCCTTCGCAACGTCCGCCATGGATGACGCACCCTGAACTGCCTCCCCGCGCGGCTGCGGCGCAGGGGAACGCATCGTCGACTGGTCGACCACAACTTGGGAACTGCTAGCCACGCCAACAGCCTGTTCGCTCCGCTTACTCGACGGCGTCTGCTGCTGATCAGGAGCCACCTCCCCAGCGCCCACCCCCCCCGTTTCGATCCGTATCGCACCCCCCGTTCTCTGCTTCACTTTCCTCACGAGAGTCTGTTTGTCTACTTCTTCGAAGTCGTCGTCCTCCTCCTGTCTCTCMTGTGCATCCACCCAATCWGCCTCCACCTCTSTCCCAACTGCGGYCTTCCCRCCTTGRACGCCCCTTCTTCTCTTCGWGGGATCGTGGCGACCTTTCTTCGGTGCGACCTYGCCTTCCYTGACTTGTTTCCCAAGRACTCTCCGAGATGGAACGGAGCGAGAAGACATTGCGTGTCGTGTGTTGAAGATGGAATGGAAGGCGCGTAAGAAGAACGTGGATCCGTCGACCTCGGAGATGGCGGCGAGAAGATCTTTCCGCGGCGCGCAGTACCACACGGCGAGTGGTGGTTGATGGCGGCGAGAAGATACGATGGCGCGACGCACGATAGGAAGGTCGTCGGTGTTTATACTGGCGGAGGTTTCAGGCAGCGACGAGATTAGATGGCGGCGCACATAGAGCACGCTTGATGGCGAGTAATGTCGAAGTAGGCGAGAAAATTACTTGGCGGCGCTCGCAAAACACGGCGATAAAACAGCGATGGCGCCGACGGTGATGCTGGCGAAATTCAAGGCGGCGAGAAGATGTCCTGGAGGCGCGCATGAAAGAGGCGGGGGGCGTTGGGGTGGCGGCGAGAAGATGTCCTGGAGGCGCGCAGAAGCTACAATGCGACGGCGAAAGCACGACGCTGCGCGAACATGACGCGCACGCTTTCCGATGACTGCGGTGTGGCCCGATGCCTCGGTACTTATAACGAAATGGTGGTCGTGGGGGCAGGGCAAGAGTGATGGCGCGCTGTCGTTTGGCAATCCGCATTTTGTATGTTTTCCCCAAAACACGGCGGACAGCAGTCGACCGTCGTGCCCACTTGCATCGGGCGACAAGACGACCAATGACCAAAAAAGACGACATTGTGGGACAGCACCCCCCCTCCACGAATAACCCAGGCCTGCCAAACCCTCACCCTGCCCGCCGAACGCAACCCCCCAGAACCGAGCACGCCCCCCTCCCTGTCTTCATCAGCAATGCGACGGGCTGCGAAAACAAAACGAAAAAAGGCGACGTCCCTACGAATGCACACCCTGTACAAGGAACCTCCGATAACCACAAATTCGGGTACGTACAAAATTGAAAGAACTTCGTTCACATCACGATTATCAAACAAGGACAATCATGGAGACATTTCATTGCAATCATCTTATACAAAACACAAAAACCTGCCATAGCTCGTTTGTTTCTGTCTGTGCCAGACCGAAGAGAGAGAGAGAGAGAGAGAGAGAGAGAGAGAGAGAGAGAGAGAGAGAGAGA